AGGAACTCACGTCTTACTTACCTGCATGCAAACACTTTCAGAGGGCTATTAAACCTCATCAGCCTGGATTTGTCTCACTGCAATATTTTCGAAATCCACCCACTTCTATTTTCACACTTGCCTTCTCTAGAAAGTCTTGATTTAGCCTCCAATAACATGCGGTATGTCCCACAAGCCTTCAGGAACCTCTCCAGCCTCACGAGGCTGTCCCTTGAGGGCAATCACATAGAGGCCATCGGCAGAGACTCCCTGAAGGACCTGGAAACCCTGTACGACCTGAATCTCAGGAAGAATCGGATATGGATCATTCAAAATGGTGCTTTCACAAAGCTTCTCAGATTGGGCATGTTAAATTTAGGACACAACTTCATCACTGATCTGCCTAATCAGCTTTTCGAGGGGTTGATCCAGCTCAAGACTATGCACCTTGAAGCCAACAGAATCACTGCTGTTGAATGCACCTTCAGACATCTGCTCAACTTGAGAAACTTGTACCTGAACAACAACCAAATCTCCTCTATCTCTGACTCTGCTTTTTCATACTTGCACAAGCTGCACTTCCTTCATCTGAGCAAAAACAACCTCAGTTCCCTCCCCATCCGCTTGTTCACCGAACTGACAAAGCTGAAGTACGTGTTTCTATCCCACAACCCCTGGAGGTGTGACTGCAAGATGCTTTGGTTCTGGCAGTGGACGGCGACACGCAGGGCAGTGATCAAAGGGCTGGACTGTGCCTTCCTGGGCCCTCCCAACACAACAGCACTCAATGAACCCCACCCAGGGGACCTGAGGGACTGCACGGTGCCACTTCAGCTGGCAAGTGAAGACAAGTGCAGCGTGGGCAGCACCAGTGTGGCTCCTGAGCCCCCGAATCTCCCTAGCAAGGTCATCCTGCTGGCACTTGTCTGCTACATGTGGTATAATGTGAGGGGATGGGACACCTCAGTAGCCACATTTTGATGATATCTGAATTATAAAGTGAAGGCTACTTATTTATTTTCTTGCTATTTGTTTGTGAAAAGAGGGTTTTCACAACAGGTAGATTTTATATGGAAATCAAGGGATTTTATTATATAGGAATAAATGCTTTCACTCATGGGCAATGCTTGAATCTGAAGTGCTAACATCAAAATTCAGCGTAAATGCTCACATTGGCAATTTCAGGGCTGGGGCTTGTGCTGGTGACACAGGGCTGGGAAGCATGGCCCCACCACAGCCTTTGTCCTCCCCCGTTTCCAGGTGACCACAGCCAGGTGTGACGTCTCAGGGAGAGGCTACTTCCTACACATAGTCTGTACTGGGGATATTGTGAGTACTGCTGAAGTAAGAATAAATTGCTCATGTTGCAGCACATCTGGAGTCTCTAGAAAAGGCCCAGTCCATCAGCATTTCTGTGAACATGTGGTACCTTCCCACAGCAGGCACACAAGGAACTTTGCTGTTAAGAGTATAAGACATTGTTGGAGGAGTGGGCAAAAATGTCACCACGTAAAACATTTTATTGCTCACCTGCTCCTGACAGTACTGAGCTTCAGCTCAATGTGGCTTTGCACTTACCCCTGCAAGGAGCTCGCTTGTCTCAGGGATTGTCTGTAGGAATTCTGTCTCCCTGCATGTTATGAGCTCTGTCACAGCATCACACCTGTGCCATACCCTCAATCTGCCTCCCTTCAGGTGCTGAGCCATCATGATGCCTCCTTCACACATATCAGCCTTCTCAATTCTTCCAACAGGAATTTTCCATTTCTGCAGGTATATTAAAATCCCTTGTCCACCGACACAGTTACATCCAGAAATGCTTGGTATTTTTGGATGCTTTTTTCTTTGCAAGATTGGGACTTGCAACATATTCCTGGCTGGATAAAACACCTTTCTAGGCTAAAACCCTGCCTGGCACAGAGTCCCTTGCAGGAGGAAACCTCATCAGTCTGTAGGAAGCAATTCCCCATGCCAGGTTGCAGAAGCAGCCTCACAACCTCCAGAATCAGCAGCACCATTTGCCAGCAGTCAGACAAGGAGCCTGGTGCTCATAGTAACAGTGATGGCAGATCCCATCCTTCAGGCAGTCAACAGCAGATCTGGATTTCCTGCAGCGACTAAATTGAACCACAGGTAGAGTGACTAAGTCTGCAGACCTGCCTTGCAGAACAAGCATGGTCTCCCTTTGGCTTTGTCTGCCAGCACACAGAAGACACAACCTGCACAGACAACATTTGTTTTCCACCTATGGGAGACTTCAGGAATGTAGTAATTCCTAAAGCTGCAGTAAGCAGAGTCCCCACCAAATGCAGCTGCCTTGCTTGCATTGCAGCTCCCTTGCCATTAGCTATGTGGGCTGGTGGCCACACGGCCAGGTCTGAGGAAATTTGCTCTTTGCAGCTCTTTGTCTTTGAGGTGCTTTCTTGGAGAAATTTCTTGCCTGTGATTATTTCTCACCTGACTTACAAAAACAGGAACACCTAGATAACATTTTCAGCAACTATCACTGTATAAACACTTGCCACAAGACATGCCCAATGGTTACCAAGTGCTCACAGAAGGAAGCAACAGAACGTGTGGCAGATACACCATACCTGTCTCTGTCCTTAGAGGAATCCTCCCAAGCTGATAAGAGGTAGGAGAGAAATAAACCTTTGTTTAGGGTTGAAAACACACAAACCAGCACATTCTGACATGGAAAACCAGCCACGGAGTGAAGAGTAAGACCAACCTTTGCTGTTGTACCACTGAAGAGACAAACCGGGGCTGCACAAAACCACACACACTGAGTCCTCCTTGTTATCAGATTTGTGATAAGGTTTGTGTAAAGTATTCAGTGGTCAACAAATTTTTGCCTTTTTTTTTTTCTGCTCTTTCACCATCCTCACTTTCCTCAGCTTCACATACTTTTGGGAAGTAGTGGAAAAAAACTCCAGTTTGTTTCTTGGTATTGCATTCCTCTCTGCTATCAAGCTGCAATAAAAAAAAAAGGCAGAAGCAAAAAATAACCAAGCAAAGTTCACCTCCCTAATTTTTCTAAGTCCCTAAAAAGTTAATGTTTTCCATTGAATAATATAAGTTGGTGAAAAAATTTTAAGGAGAGCCTTGTCTCCTGGCAATGCTACCAGAAAACATTCCTTCCACTTTTACACCACCACCTCATTAAACACTACAGGAATACAATTAACTTGCTTCTTCTGTGCTACAATGAAATAGCGATAGAAATATTTAACAAGTTCGATGCAGTATGCTCAGGAAGAACATGTAGCTACACTTTTAATCCACAAGAAATGAAGCTTGCAAGGAATAGAAAAAAAACTTCTGGCAAAACCCACAGGCCCTGAAGATGCAATCTGTGCCTGGAAAGACATATGAAAGAGAACATTGAGATTAAGGACAACACACACCCACAAAGGCAGCAGCAAGCTCAACTGTTTAAAAAAAATATTGGAGTAAAGCTGTCACTGCTAAAAAACCTTGGAAACAAAAGCAGAATTGAATAAACAGAAACTAGTAACCGAATATATATAAACAAATAATTTAATATGAAAGAGCAAAAAGACTTGCAGGAAGAAAGAAACATACATCTTGGTTCCTCTTGAAAACTTTTAGGTGTGTTTGACAAAACAAACTATTTGAAAGTTTGCTTGTCAGAGGCTTTACTGGTGAGAAAGCACAGGGGTTTGTCCTGTCTATCCTGCACTGGACCTTCACTTTAAGAGCTCCACTTTGCTTTGACCCAAAGCTTTTCTTTGAGTGAACCCATTTCTTAAATACATCCAGAACAAGAATGAGATGCTTTGCCATGCTGTAATTGTCAGACTATCCATTTCTCCCCCTTTAACCTGGCACCAGGAGGCAAAAGAGGCAAGACAGGACAGATGCATGTGGTCAGTTCCAAAGACCAAGAATTTTGACCTTAATTATACCATACCCCCAGCCAGTGCTGTAAATCACTAGACCACTGTCTCAGAGGGATGGATGTGCCTACTTATGGTATATCGTTCCATCTTCAGTGAAAACATGCAATTTCCTGTGGGAAGCTTTGTTAACATATTTTCTGATGAAAAAATTGCACCAGTGGAAAGTTCCCAGCTGGATGTATGTGAGGTTTCATGCAATAAATCACTGTGGGGGTTTGCTGACACTCCCAGCACTCTCAGAGCAGTGAGTGTTCCCAGCCAGTGCTCTTGCATCTCCTGCCCTCACCCCTGCAGCAGGCAGGGCTTCTGCATGTCTCCTCTCAGGTGCACCAGCTCCACTCCAGCTCCCTGCCAAATTCCCTGTTCCCTTGCACGTTTTTCATCTCCTACACACAGAAAAATTAAACCACTTTCTCTCTCAATTAGCCCTCATGTAAACTTTCACCTCTGAAGCCCACAAGGCAGAATGGCACAGAAGAAGCTGCTGCTTCAAAACAAACCTGTTCTTTCTTTGCTTTTCATGGACCATTCGCTGCTGTTCTCCCAGCAGCCTCTCAACACACTTCAAAGGACCAGCACCTAACAGCAGATTTGCATCTGGCCATTAAAGATGCAGAAAGGTGTGTGACACAGCAACCCAGAAGCAGCAGCTGTAACTGAAGACAGGAGGCCACGCTGGGTCAGTGCAAATAAGAAGAGACGCATGTATTTAAATGTTTTTATTTCAACTAATGTTTTGCCACCATATTACATCACTTTGAATAGCTTGGAATAGCAATATGATCTCAAAATATAGCAAACAGCTTGCCAAAGCAAGATAATATTTAATCCTATGGATACAACATATTCCTTCTTTGGCGACAAGGCTTCCATTTATCTGTAAAAATAGTTTTATGTCCCAGCAATATTTGCTGTTCACTTTATTGAACCCTGCTGTTTATAACATTTGCCTCTTCCCTGCACAAAACCTCCCCCACAGTGTAGTATGGTTTTATATCCAACAGCATTTTAAATAAAAAAGTTATAGTTTTCATGCAGATTTTTGTAAAAATTATTTTCTAGGTGCACAGAACTGGACCAAGATGCATACAAAAATGCATTCACTTCCATTTGCAGGTGTAACCATGCCATCAGCAACATAATACCATATGTTACTGCAAGAGGTCCAAGGATGGTGGTATTATCATATGTAGTATAACCTTAAAAAAAATAATAAAAAAGTTATAGTTTTCATGCAGATTTTTGTAAAAATTATTTTCTAGGTGCACAGAACTGGACCAAGATGCATACAAAAATGCATTCACTTCCATTTGCAGGTGTAACCATGCCATCAGCAACATAATACCATATGTTACTGCAAGAGGTCCAAGGATGGTGGTATTATCATATGTAGTATAACCTTAAAAAAAATCCAACCCAAAAAAAAACAAATTATCGATTACCACAAAAAAAACCCACACAAAAACAAACAAACAAAACCCCACCCCAAACAAAAAAAACCCTTTTTATAAGCAGCAAGAGAAAAAACTGCCATGCTTTATTGGTAAAGTAATCATAATAGTTAGATGTATAAAAAAGCACCATGTACAGAGAATACCAGAGGAAGATCATCTTCCTAATTACACATTTCTCATTCAGCATTGTGAGCTGGCCTGCAGATCCCAACTTGTACTGTAGCTTTATTCGCAAAGTTAAGGATGTGGTCAAACCTAGAATATGCTTGAAGTGTATGACAGAAATTAAATAGGACTGCAGATAGAAATTAGATTTGTTTCCATTACAACTCATACCAACCACCTTATAGCCCTCGGGGTGAAAAACCACACATCAAGTATCTGAGAAATAATGGAGTGAAAACAGCTTCAGAGCAGTATTGCAAGATGCAGGGTCTGCTATGAATGCATTTCTGTGAGCTCTTGATAAGTTAAACTTTCCTTTGGGAAAAGAGCATGTCTGTTGGTTAAAACTCCTCTCCCTGAGAATTTTGATAAAGAGTTTTGTCTTGCAAAGCAAAACAAAGTCCTTTGAACTGCAACAGTTCCTAGGCCAACAGCATTT